AGTCGGGGCACCAGCACTTGGGGTTAATTCACAGCTTGGGGGGACAGCGGGAGAGGCTTTCTACACTGGCCAGCAAGCAGCCTCCATGCCAGATTGGCGTGATGAAGTTTATCAGACACCCAGATAACATGTTAAGAAAATCCAGAAAAAAAATAATCAACTTAGCAGCTTATCTCCTACCCTGGTGTTTTTCAATCAGGGCAGTGTTTGGGGCACACCTAACCCCTCTGTATTAGCTGGCCCACCTGCTGCTGGCGTGGGTTGGCAGGTGTTAACCTACTGCACATGCACCCTGCTTGCTCCTCTCTCCTTCAGCAGCCAGTTCACCAGCCTCCAGCAGCTTTTGGGTGAGGAGCAGTGAGCCAAGCCTTGCTGCTGGGGCTGCCGATGTCTCCCACGCCACCCCAGCCCCTCTCCAGGGCCCTGCTGGAGCCCAACATGACCTCTTTGGTCTGGTTATCATTTGAAGAGAAGTTGTAAACATGCTGGAGCACTGACATTTCAGCCACACACAGTAATTAAAGGAGCTTTAGCCCCGTTCCCAGCTAGCCCTGAAATTAGAGGCACAGCAGGGAGAAGACAGCGAGTGCACAGGAGCATAGGACAAGCCTAGATCAGGTGTGACTCATCACTGGAGAGCAATTAACAGTTGCAGCTCTTCCCAAATAGGGATGGGTCCAGCTCTGACTCCTGGCAATGAGGTTTTCTTCCTGTTGTAGCAATGGGAAATGGAGGCAGGTCTGGCCAGAGCCACTCTTGGCAATACGGGTATTTGCTGTGGCCCCTCTGCTCCCCAGAGAGACCAAAGCAGGCTGGGGAGTTACTGTGGTTTTTGGGAGTGCAGACAGGCGCTGGCTGCAGTGACCATCTCCCAACACCAGAGAGATGTCAGCTGTTGAGATGACTTAAATCCTCCCGGGGAGATTCCAGCTACAACCTAGAAACCGTGCTGAGCTAAACTGTCAGCTGGCATAAATCCACGTTGATCTGAAGAAGGCATCCACCGACTGCCATAAGCTTTGGGGCGGAGGTCTGCCTTAAGGGTGGCTTGTCAATCCTCCAAGCCCAGAGCAACCCTCCTACCCTGGCCAAGAGCAACAAACTGCATCATGTCCTGCTCCGCAGGGCAGGGCGAGAGCAGACGCAAGATGGCAAAAGCTCTTCAGAGGGTCCCTTTGCTCCATCACCCCTCAGATATGGGGACTCCCCACTCACTGCAAACGCAGGAAGGATCAACAGCAAGAGCGTGGCTGCAATGTGCAGAGGAAGGGCAGTTTTAGGGTTCTGCACCACATTGTTTTACAAGCACTGCCATGCTTCCGAGCATGCCAGAGGCACCTTGGACTCAAATACAGCCCAGGCTGCCACAGGTGCCTTTCTGAAAGTGCTCAGAGTAGTTTTGGGTGTAGGGCAAGAGCAGTTTGAGTTAAGGAGCTTCAGAAAAGTAGAGACTAGTGATGTCTCCTTGTGTCTTCTTCCCACTCCTAACAGGAGTGACATCTGTTTCGTTTCATGTGTTTATCTATTATTTTAATTGTGCATTAACAAGAAATCTAATAATGCCCAGGGAACAGTTACACAAGTTTGAACACGTTTTCCTACTTTCTGCTGACCTATTAATTATTTCAGAGCTCTTGTGCAGCTTTCTGGCTGTGGCCACATACAATTGAAGACATTATCCTCTGCCTGTTGCAGGTTGGGCAGAAGCAAACCTGCTGTGGATATAGTGTGGCCCTTCAAGAAGTATGTTTTGTGTGCTGCACTCCCTGTAGGGGCAGGGTGGTTAATACCAGAAAACCCTTTGGCTGCAGACCCTTTGTCTCCACATAGACACACAGCTGATGCGGGGATGCTGCTGCACTCAGGAATCTGACATCTAACAATTTATCCCTTGCTAGATGGATGCACAAGGACCATCCACTGGGGAAGGGGGCCCTCCAAGCAGCCTTGTCATATGCCTAGTTAGGAATATGCTTGTCCCACAGAGGGATGTTCATCAGCAAACACAGAACCTGGACGCTGCTGGTCCCAGCTGCACAGGGACTTAAGTCCAGGACTTGGGCTAAGCTCTGGGGTTCCTTCCTCCTTCAAAATCAGGCTGAGGAAAACTCAAGCCACTCTTCTTTGGGTGGAAGAGGCCTTGTGGCAGACCCAGGTGAGCATCATGCAAACACTGCCTGGCCAAGTACACAAACAGCACCCGTGGATATAGGAAGGGTCACCCAAAGCCATTCCCTCAGTCCCTGCAATAGGACAAGAGTCACCATGAGCACAGCACTGTCACCTCCCTTTGCCACTTGCCTCAGGACTGTTTGCAGCTCCAAGAACCTCTTGAGGAAGGCTGTACGGGATGCACAACGGTTTCAAGAGCTCACACCAGCCCATGCACAGCCTTGTGGCTCCTCTTCCTTCTCCTGGCCCCTCTGCTGACCCTCACCCTGGTGCCTGGCCAGTCACAGTGCTCACACTTTTCCCTTTCAAGGCAGACATAAGACCCATGTACCTGCCCTGCCCAGGGAATCAAACGCCCAGAGACTAGCTCAATGCAGAACACACAGCTGTTTTTTAAAAAAATCACTGCATTTTATTTTTCAGCCTTCTGCTCTGTCATTTGCAGTGCTGAGATTCAGGCATATTCAGAGCCTGTGTTTACAACTTGACAGCTTTGTGACTCCTGTGTCTCCTTCCCCCTGTCCACATGGGCCCAGAGTTGATTGTTCCCCAAAGCTGAAAATCCTTGGTCCTACTGTGGGGACAGTGAGATGCAGGACAAGAGTGACAGCTGGCTTTTGTGCTCAAGTGAGTAGGTATATTGTAAAAATGAGAGCTTAAAAACCATTAGCTATTTCTTTGCTGATTGTGGCAATCACAAAGTGAATAAAACTTGAACCTGAGAGCAAGGAAGGCATGGTCCAAGAACTGGTCCCTGGACTTTGGGGTGCTCTGTGCAGAGTGGACAGGTCACTTACTGCCTGCCAAGGCAGGATCCAGCTCTTGGTAAAAGGCTACTGTGGTGGTTGAAGGCAGTAGTATGGTTTAGTTCCTGGTGCAATGGCAGGGCACCTGCCTCTGGAGGTAGGATTGTACTCTGAGCCCCGAGGGAGAGAGCCTGATGCCTCATGGGGCTAAGCCCAGCAACCACACAAGGCTCAGCGACAGGCCGGGCAGATCCTCCCACAGAGGGGAAGGAGGAAGGCAGGGGAAGCACAGTCATTGCCCAGGGCAAGAGTGATGGGAGGGAGGCAGGGACACGGCCAGCAGCAGACTGGGGGAGGCTCAGGACAAGTCAAAGTGCTGCAAGCTGGGCACGCAGAGGCACATCCTGCCTCTCTGGGGAAAGGAGGCAGCAGAGGTGGTGCTGGGCTGGGGGCAGATCTGCATGGACGGTGCTTCTAAGCCCTGCTCAGGGGACACAAGGCTGGTGGTGGCAGTGGGCTGGAGGGGTGCAACGGCTCCCAAGGTAGTGTCCGTTCACAGTCCCTTGTTAAAATAGACGTACGGCACTTTGTCTCCATGCTTGGCCACGATGCTGTCACGCAGCTCCAGCTCAAGGTCAGCCAGCGCAAGGGAGCTGTGGGGACAGGGGTTAGACACCGAGACCTGCGATCCTCCTCTGCGACCACCCATCAGGCCACACTTCCTTCCCACCACCATTCAAAGTCCCCTGAAGTCCCTGGGATCTTTCAGGCTCACATCAAGATCCACCATCCATCTCTGGCATCCACCGATCCCAGTGCTGGGCAGCAGAGAGCTGCCCATGGGGCTATGCATCCTAATCCTCCCAGCACAGGGCTTGCAGAGCAGAGGCACATGCTGTTCTGCTGCCCAAGGCACCAGCGTGTACAGGCAGGCACTACCTTGAGCTGAAGGGTAAGTGCTCATCATGCTTCTCCTGGGGTAGGCAAAAAAGAGCTAGGGGAGGAGAAAGGCTCCTGAGGTTCCACACAGGAGGAGGAAGCAGTGGGACACATACCATCTCTGTGGGAACAGGGCACAGGCTACTGGCACCATGAACAAGAGGCTGCAAGACAGAGAAGAACCGAACATTAGTGTTTCAGACTGCAGCCCATTTGTCCCCCTGGCCACAGGGATTTTGGCCCAAGAGGTGCTGCTTATGCCCCATGACTCCCAATAACTGGGGAAAGCCCAGGCTGAAAGGCAGGCAGCTTTCTTGCTGGGAAAGAGGGCTTCTTCCAAGCATCCCTTGGAGTCATGCTCCAGGCACCCACAAGTGTTGGAGCAACAAGATACTTACAAGCCTCCGCAGAGCAGCACCTGCAGAGGTGCATGCAGAACCCGGATCCGCTGCAAGGGAAGAGCCAGGATTAAGTCTTCAGCCATGCTGCAGGCCCCACTCACAGGGTAGGGAGACTTCTCCCCTCAGTGGGGCTGAACACCTAACACCTCTGGGGTGCCACAGAGCCCTGCATCCTCTGCACATCACACAAGAGACCTTTGGTGTTCCAGTGACTTAAACAGAGGGCAAAGCAAGCTGGGCTGTCCACCCCTCCATTTCATTCCCAGCATCTCAGTACCCGGGGAGCAGGGCCGGGGCACAACAGGGCCCACTGGAAAACCCAGCAGGAAAGTGTGGACTCACCTGCATGAAGGGGAATTTCTCCAGTCGCTCCATGATGATGGGCAAAATAACTAGATACAGAGAGAAAAGGTCAAGGGCCCCCCTGCAAGCCAGCCCACAGGGCTGCCCCACCATGACCACCCTCCTGGAGGCAATGGCAGTGGCTGGGGACCACTGGGTCATGGGAGGGACCTTGCATGGGACCCTCATCCATCCATCACCCAGGCAGCATGTGTCTCCTGCTGAGCCAAGGCAATGAAAGGCTGAAGGGTGAGGGCCAGAGAGTGTGAGAGGCATCATTATAGGGCCCAACCGCTGTGGGAGCACCTCACGCCCCCGACAGGCTGTGAGTTGGGATGAGGAAGGCTGAGGGCTCAGGGGACTCTGATGGAAATGGCAGGATGGGGAGACCAGCTCCATCAGTGAGATGTGACCAAGTGCCAGCAGGGATGCAGGGCCACCCTCCCTCTTCTTCCTGGGGGAAACTGAAGCAAGGGAGGGCATGGCAGTGGGTCCCACGGGCGCTCTGCTGTGGCCCTTTTTTTCCTCCCCCCTCCTGCCTTGTACTCACTCATGCCTGGTGCTGCCATGGTGATCCTGGAGACCACAACCTGTGCGATGCCCTTCACTGCCGCCCTCTGCAAGCAAAAGCAGCGGGTGAACCCCTGCTGTGCCGTTCCCCAACCTGGACCCCCATCCCCAGACTCACCCTGGACTGGCCAAGCTCATTGTTGTCCCCATCTGTCACTGTGACCCCATTGATGATCTCCCTGAAGGGGACAAGCAGCCATGAGTAGGGGCTGGGATGATCAGGGGAGCATGAGGACACAGCAGCGGGGTGAGGGAGTGCCAAAGCAGTCGCCTGTGCTGTGCTGGCACAGCAGCCCTGGGGCTCCACTGCCCGGGGTTGCCGCGGTCCCCAGCCCGGCCGATGCTGCCATCTTCAGGGCAGGGCTGTGAACGGGGTCCGGCTGTCTGGGGGACAGACGCAGCCCGAGAGCCACAGCTGAACCAAGGGACAGCTCCCCAGACAGCACCTCAGCTCCCCGTGCCGCGACCTGCGGGGGACCCCGAGAAGCAAAGGTCCCACCTAGTGGGTCACAGCACCACTGGGACTGGGGGCTTCCCATCACAACATGCAGAAGACCTTTGGGTCTCAGGGATCTTCAGCCCACACGCCAAAATGGCCATCCTCAGCCCAAAATCCCTCTGGGCAGAGGCTGACCCACCCCACCTGGCACCATCCACCAGAGACCGGGCACCACAAATGCACAGACCCTGTCTCACCTCCTTCCCGTCCTCCTACCCCCTCCAGCCCCCGGGATGGAAAACTGCAGCAAGGCGACCAGGGAGCCCAGGACCCTGGCTGCCACTGGCTCACCTTCAGAGAGAGATGGGTCTCTCAAGCACCCTGGCCACATGTAGCACTTACTGTTGCCGCATCATGGGGATATTGACACAGTTGGCAGCAGCCACAGCCACAAAGGGAACCCAGCGGGCCAGCAAGGGTGGTGCCCGCTGTGGAAGACAGGCTGGTGTCAGCATGGGAGGGTGGGATGTGGCCAATGGCCCTAGCTGGCCCCATGTCGGTGTACCTTGGTGTAGAGGTTGAGTCCCACAGCGGTAGCCAGGGCTGTACTGGTGGCCGTGACATAAGCCACCCCCATTTGCCTGGAGAGCAATTTCCAAAGAAGGGAGAGAACAGAAACACCAGCTCTTACACGATCCTGTTCCTTCAGTGCACGAGACAGGGCACAAGGGGTCTTTACAGGGCATGCAGGAAGGTCCCAGCACCAAGAGTCCCTATCCCAGGCAGGGACATGCTCACCTCAGTGAGATGGGGGAGGCAGCATTGCGGTTGGTGTAGTTGACAATGGCGTTGAAGGACTGATTCACCCACTGCCAGAAAACCACGGCAGGCACTGTCCTGCAGAGGGAAGGGTCCAGGAGAGCACCCCAGGACTGTCAAGGACACTAAGCCTGTGTCTGTGGTCAGGCTTGACAGGGCGACAGCCAAGATGCCCTTGATACTCTTGTCCTGCTGTCTCCCAAGGAAAACAGAGGCACTGCAGCAAAGCCACGAGCCAGTGGCAGAGCTGAGAAATGACTCCAGAAGTCCTGGCTGCTGCAGGGCTTTGGAGAGCACAGGAGAGGGCCCAGCCTGGTGGCGTGCTTGGCCCGAGGAGGAAGATCTACCTCTCAGCAGAGTGGGAGCAATTCTGCTAGGCTGAGATAAGCCTTTATCAGTGGGAATGGCAAGGAGCAGGCACACGTGAACAGAGGTGGTTCTAGGAGGCGACCAGGACGCCTGGGCTCCCATTGGTGTCTCAAGGTCACTGAGGTGGGGCAGGAGAGGACATGGGGAGATGTGAGTCCCAGCAAGTTTTAGGATGCACGAGGGTAGAGACAGCTGGGAAGAATGTGACCCATCAGATCTGTGACTGGCAGATCCCCCAGGCAGACTGAACCTCACCAGCAACTAGCAAACAGGGATTGGACGGGATGGGGATCCACTAGGAAAGGCAGTGTCTGTCCCACATGTGCTCTGCACTGGGAACAGGATCGCTCATCCTTCAAGTAGCCATTTCAGAAAGGAAATGCAGGGGGCTGTCAGTGTGGGGTAGGGACGCAGAAGCAGCCTGGCCTGGGGGCACGTGTGGTCCCCGGTTTCAGGGTACATTATGGTCCACAAAGCATGAGCAGCAGCTATGCAGGAGATGGCCACATTAATCATTACAGGGGCTGTGGGAAGAGCTGAGCTGAGAGATCAGGGCAACACATGACTCACTCCAGCCATGCCAGGGATCTGTGATGCCCCTGCCACAGGCTGGGCACTGGGGACAGGGCACAGGGACATGGGTCTTGGCCATCGTGCACCCCTCATGGAGCTGGGAGCTGTCAGAGCTGTGTTCCCAGCCTAGCATTCCCAGGAACTCACCGGTAGAACTGGAGCATGCAGCCAGTGAGGGCCATGCCCCCTGGCACCTGGAAGGACATCCTCCCAATGAGGTTCATCTTCTCACCGCTGTCAGGGTGGAAGGCTGAGTCGTAAAGCTTCTTGGCATAGAGCAGCTGCTCCTGGCTGCTTCCCGGCGGCACCAGCCCGGCCCTGCAAGCCCAGAGCCTGTTGTGGGGAGCCACACACACCCACCGGCACTTGGCGCTGCCAGGGCATGGAGCCCCGAGCGCCAAACATGAAAGGCAGAGGAAACATCTCCCACAAGGCAAACTTGTCCCAGCTTGAGGCTCCTGGGAGAAGCCTGGGAAACTCCCCCAAAACTGCCTCCAATTGATGTCACGTCCC